TATTTTCGGAATTTTCAAGAATGTTATAAAAAATAAAGGAGTTGAAATACCCATACATGATACAAATGTGTTTCTGCCTTCTCTAAAAAGTCTTGAAGAAAAATCCTTTGTAAAACTTTCCCAATGTAAACCTTAAGAAAGCCCTAAACCTAAAACAGAAAATAGAAATAAGGATGTATAGCCAAGTTCATATTGAGAAATTGAAAATTTTGAAAACCTAAGATCAAGTGGCATGGGCAAAAAATCCAGTTCGGAGTCCGATGACAAACCAACGTAAATAAATATTTTAAAAACGCTCAAGTCCAAAAAACCTAGGAGAAAAAAAAAAATGCCCTAGATAACTGAGTTGGATGACATGGCATCTTGAGGATGTTCCAAAAATGGACTAGTACACCCTCTTACCATTTGATATTAGGAACAACTTCAAGGTCAGAAATTGACAGCAAATGTCTACATCTTCACTGCCACCTGTACCTCGAAGAATAGGGTGCACTAAATAGGGGTAAATATAGAGCCCAAATTCAAAATTAACTAATTTATTTAATTCCTAGAACCCTAAATTCTCATGTAACTTTGAACCATTAAGGCCATACTAGCTTAGTGACTCCTAGTACACCATAGCCCCTAATCCATAATCCCTACGAAAATCAATAAATCTTTCCAAATCTCTTTAAAGATATTATGATTAATCCAAACTTATCTAGATTAAAAGATAGTGCTTTAGAAAGGCAACAAAGCTTGGATTAGATGGCTGAAAACATGTCTAATTTGGACCGGACCACCACTACTGAACTCAACTGGAGGTCCGGCACCGCCAGAATTTGGGCTTGGAATGTACTAGTGATGCGATATGCGTCACTAGTCCTTTGAGCACCAGATTTCCAAAGAGACTCTATCTAGCCTAGATAAGCCCTTTTTTGTATCGCCCAAATCTAAGATTCCATATTCAGAAGGCAATTTTCGAAATTCTTCGGGAACCCTAAACCTGATGGACATTTGAATTACTGGTCAAAAGTCAAACATAAATACATGCCTAGAACTCCTAAACCTAGTTGAACTAAAATCCAACTAAAGCCTATATAAACCCCTTCTAGCCTCCCATAATTCATAACTAAAAAAACTCCTAAAGAAGATCCTTAGAAATTAGAGCAAAAGTCCCTTAGGCTAGAGCAAACCTAGAGAAAACCTTAGGAAACTCAACTCTAATTATCTACATTCATCAAAATCCTATTTATTTTTATTTTTTTTAAAAAAAGAGGCCTATAGGATGAATATGTCATAAGAAATCAAAATCGTAAGAAGAACATACCCTTGGTGCAATGTAACAAATTCTTCAAGAGAACAGAGAACAAAAGGAGTAAATCAACCCGTGGTAAGATGCGGATCCCAACTTTGGGTTCCAGGTGTCCCAGGCCAATAAGCCTTTCTCAATTGAATTCTTTCATTCTTTTCAGTTTATTTTCTTTGTTTTTTTTGTTTTCCCTGTTTTATGTATTTTCCTGGTCTTTAGTTTGGTTTTCTTGCACGATTTCAAGCCAGTCCTATCGACATTATAGGAAGGGAAGTTACATACCCATATATGTATCTTCTCATACACTATAACTCGACAAAACTCACTATTCTCTAATAAACTTTTTGATAGTTTAGTTTGAAGCATAAATCAGAGAGGATTTCATTCAATATTCCCCCGAATTTGGTTATAAACAACCGTATACATGATTTTTTAAAAATTTTGATAACAAAATAGGATTTTTTATAAATTTCCTATATGGAAAATGACACGTGCGAAACCCTTAAATTCCAAAGCACAAGGGTGTAAAGTCAAATTTGGACCAGAAGTTCTAGCATGCAGAGATAGTATTAAAATTCCTATACGTCTATATAGTCGAATTAAGGTGCCGTTAGCATGGGCTTATGATAAAAAAGCAGAACTAGACCTTGAAACCCTGCTACAAAATCCAATTTCAAAGCTGAAAACCCTTATGATGAACTGAAAATCAATCTTCTACTCGTCATTATGAAATTGAAAGCAGCGAAAGCGTTGCAATCTAAGGAATCTAGGAACACTTGAACGTAAACAGTTCAAATAATGTGTTGTAGAGTAATTATTTTTAGAGCTTGAAATCTTTTTTTTTTCCTAATCCATATTTATTGAGATTGAGATTGAGATGATCAAATTCAAGTATCTTCTCATACCAGGACTGCAATTTTCAATGAAATTTTGAAACAAGGATTTATTTTTTATCATAAAACCTAGGGGCATTTCGCTGACCTTCAAATAAAGCCTGTTGATGTAAACCTACATGTTTGTAATTGTATGTAACAGTGAATGACAGGAATAAGTGCTTGTTGTTTTCAAGCTCAAGGGCAGGAGACGAGATTAGGTTGGACCAAAGCCTAGTGAAAAACTACACCATCTTGACTTTTATATAACAACCTTTCCCTATGTCTACCCTACCAAATGATACTTCATATCCATCATTTTCACATAACTATCCTTCTTCTCCAATTGCTGTCATAAAAGGAAGGGAGAACCCAATGGGGCCTCTACTATATTAGAGACTACTAAATCCACCAATTCTCTTTTTTTTTTTTCTTTGTTTGGACAAGAATACTAGGATTTCATTAATCGCATAAAGATGTTCAAATTTTACAACAAAAAATAAATAAATAAATCAAATCAAATCAAATCCACCAATTCTCTTTCATATAAAATTATATCAGATAGAGAGAGAATGGTAAGAGTGCCCAAGTGTGAGAAAAGGAAGGATTAAGAGAGAGAAACACTATGGGTGGTATCTTTATGATCCCATGTGAGAGACAAAACTTGATAAAAGAAAGAGTCTATAAGTTGTTTGTGGGGAGAACGGCACGTGACATCCAACTCACAACCCATTACTTTAGAGAGAGAAAACATTAGTTTAGAGAGAGAGAGGGGGAACCCACCCATACCTTTCCGCACCAAGACAACGTGTATAGATTCGATTGGGGAAGGTCCCAAGGCCGCGACCCTCAAAATACGGGCACCTAGCCGCTTCACAACCTTTTTCTACTTTCTCTCTCTAAAACTGAATAAAGAGTGCTCCTCAAACCAACGGCTGAGATCCACTTACGTGGCCCCATCAAAAGGATTGGAGTTGTTTTCAGAGTGAAAAAGTGGGAAGAAGACGGTAGCTGCTCAATCGCATGTGGGGTTGGAATCCTCGAAACCTGGGACTTGCTCATGGCCATGCATGCGTCAGACACCCACTCACTCTCTCTCAATCTTTTACTTTGGCTTCTAAAAACCTTGCCCTCGAATAGGGATTGCAACGGGTCGGGTATGGGTTGGAT